TTTAGTCTAGGACTAGGCTTAATGTGTGTCCGGGAAACCAGCCCCTAGGGGTGCATCTCAGTAGTCTAAATAGGCTTCCTCTCCCTTACCTGTATTGATCTGACAACACAGGCTCGGTGGAATCCACTTGAGAATGAGTGCTGCTGGGAATTTATTTACACCGGTCCAATTCTTTAACATCAGCTGCAGATGGAGACTTTTCCTTCACTTGACTGATTCACCTGCAGTATTTAAATGGGTTTTATTCCAAATTGCAGTTGATGAATATGGTACTGGGTAGTGTGTAGGCCCTACTATGCTGTTGAGGATTTATAGTATTGTTCCCATAGTCACTCACTGCTGTAGAACTTGGACGGCTGCACTGTACTGTAACACATGAGTGAGCCCACACAGTAACGTAATCACTGAAAGCTCAGGGACAAACCCATATCAATATATCTCCCTTCACAAATAAATCATACCACTTTCTCCTCAACATTCCATTTCATTTGATTGTGCGCTCGGGTGGTGAAAGGCAGGGAGGTTATTTTTCTAGCAGGGATTTTTAGTTGAAGCTACACCGAACAAAAACATAAAACGCAACAATTTCAAATATTTTACTGAGTTACAGTTCATATAAGGAAATCAGTCAATTGAAGTAAATTATCATTAGGCCCTAATCTATGGATTTCACATGACTGGGACACAGATATGCATCTGCTGGTCACAGATACTTTAAAAAAGGTAGGAGCGTAGATCAGAAAACCAGTCAGTATCTGGTGTGACCACCATTTGCCTTATGCAGCATGACACATCTTCTTCGCATAGAATTGATCAGGCTGTTGATTGTGGCTTGTGGAATGTAGTCCCACTTCTCTTCAACAGCTTTGCAAAGTTGCTGGATATTGGCGGGAACTGGAACACGCTGTCGTACACGTCGATCCAGAGCATCCCAAACATGCTCAATGGGTGACATGTCTTGTGAGTATGCAGGCCATGGAAGAACTGGGACATTTTCAGCTTCCAGGAATTGTGTACAGATCCTTGCGACATGGGGCCATGCATCATCATGCTGAAACATGAGGTGATGGTGGCAGATGAATGACACAACAATGGGCCTCTTGATCTCGTCACGGTATCTCTGTGCATTCAAATTGCCATCGATAAAATGCAATTCTATTCATGGTCCGTAGCTTATGTCTGCCCATACCATAACCCCACCGCAACCATGGGGCACTCTGTTCCCAATGTTGGCATCAGCAAACCGCTCGCCCACACGACGCCATCTGCCCGGTACAGTTGAAACCGGGATTCATCCGTGAAGTACACACTTCTCCAGTGTGCCAGTGGCCATCGAAGGTGAGCATTTGCCCACTGAAGTCGGTTACGACACCGAACTGCAGTCAGGTCAAGACCCTAATGAGGATGACGAGCACGAAGATGAGCTTCCCTGAGACAGAAATTATTTGGTTGTGCAAACCCACAGTTTCATCAGCTGTCCGGGTGGCTGGTCTCAGACGATCCCGCAGGTGAAGAAGCCGGATGTGGAGGTCCTGGGCTGGGGTGGTTACACATGGTCTGTGGTTGTGAGGCCGGTTGGACCTACTGCCAAATTCTCTAAAACTACATTGGAGGCGGCTTATGGTAGAAAAATGAACATTCAATTCTCTGGCAACAGCTCTGGTGGACCTTCCTGCAGTCAGCATGCCAACTGCACGCTCCCTCAGATCTTGAGACATCTGTGGCATTGTGTTTTGTGACAAAACTGCACATTTTAGAGTGGCCTTTTATTGTCCCCAGCACAAGGTGCAGCTGTGTAATGATCATGCTGTTTAATCAGCTTCTTGATATGCCACACCTGTCAGGTGGATGGATTATCTTGGCAAAGGAGAAATGATCACTTACAGGGATGTAAAAAATACGTAAAAAGTGTATGCACACATGACTGTAATCGCTTTGGATAAAAGCGTCTGCTAAATGGCATATTATTATTATTATTATTATTATGTAAACAAATTTGTGCACCAAAAAATTTAGAAAAATGTTTTTGTGCGTATTAAACATTTCTGGGATCAACACATTAAATGTTGCGTTTATATTTGTGTTCAGTGTACATTGTGTGCTTTGGGATCTTTGTAGTTAATAAATTATGGTTGAACGAATGGTTAATTAAGTATGAATTATTATTATTATTATGATTCGTTCATATGAATTGCTGTTTTTCTTACCTTGAAAAAGAGATGGTAATCTCAGTGTGACTTCCATGGTTACATAAAGGTCTACAAAATTATATGAACAATGGTTGTATACAAAAAATGCTTATAACCTAAACAATTAAAGAGTATTAAAGAGTAAACAATTAAAGAGTATTTACCTCACTGTCAGCACCAAAAAGCACCATTAGTCCACTAGAGGTTAGAGCAGGGGTGTCAAACGTCCGGCCCGCGGGCCGGATCAGGCCCGCAAACGGGTTTAATCCGGCCCGCGAGATGATAAAAAAAAAAAAAAAAAAAAAAAATGTTATAATAATTTTGTAAAGTATAAAAATGCACTGCAATTTTTCAATAAAATAAACTGCTGTTCCAATAGCAATTGTGTTAAGCAAGCAAACTGTTTATACCGGGGCAGAGCAAGTAGGTCAAGCACGTGCAGCCAATGAGCTACTTTGTTTTGCCCGCGATATTTATTACGGCTTCTACTTTTAACATTATGTGCTTTGGCACCCTCATTGCCCCAATATGTCTCTGTCAAAAAAGAGAAAAGTGGACGCAGAGTGCAGAGTGTTCCAAGAAAAATGGTCATCCTATTTATGCTGAAAGAATATAACCTTCGTCGCCACTATGTGAGTCTTCATGCCGACAAATATGACAACTTTCAAGGACAGCGGAGATGAGAGAAGGTGAATGAACTGTTGGCGGGTCTGAAGAAACAGCAGTCTGTGTTTACTCACAGCCGAGACATCAGTGACGCTGCAGTGAAAGCTAGCTACCTCATTGCAAATGAAATCGCAGTGGCTTCAAAACCATTTAGTGAGGGTGAATTTGTAAAAACATGCATGATGAAGGCAGCGGAGATTGTGTGCCCTGAAAAGCGGCAGGCTTTTGCAAATATCAGCCTGACAAGAAACACAGTTGCAGACAGGATTTCCGATCTTTCAGTGGATTTGGACAGCCAGTTGAAGCAAAAAGTAAAGTCATTTATTGCGTTTTCGGTTGCAATTGATGAAAGCACGGACATTACAGATGTTGCACAACTGGCCATTTTCATCCGTGGAGTTGATGACACATTGACCGTCACCGAGGAGTTCGTGGAGTTGGTGCCGATGACAGATACAACGACAGCAGCTGATATTTTTACCGCACTCGTCGGCGCGCTGGACAGGGTCGGAGTGGACTGGTCCCGCGCTGTCAGCCTGGCTACAGATGGTGCGCCCTCAATGATCGGGAAAAAAGCAGGCGTTGTGACAAATTTCAGAGAGAAAGTGCAATCTGCAAATGGAGGACGTGATTTTTTGACTTTTCACTGTATTTTGCACCAGGAGGCTTTGTGTTGCAAGTCATTAAAGATGGATAACGTCATGAAGGTGGTCATCCAAACTGTTAATTTCATCCGATCCAGAAGCCTGAATCACCGTCAGTTTGACAGCCTTCTCAGAGAGAAAGACCACATCTATGGCCTGCCATACCACACTGAGGTAAGATGGTTAAGCCGAGGTGCTGTGCTGAGGCGTTTCTTTGATTTATGAGAAGAAATTGAACAGTTCATGGAAGAAAAGGGCAAACCAGTGTTAGAATTTCATTCCGCAGAATGGATGCAGGACCTTGCATTTATGGTGGATGTTACAGAGCACCTGAATAACTTGAACAAACAGCTGCAAGGGCGCAACAAAGTTGTCACGCAGTATTATGACAGCATACGTTCTTTCAAGTTGAAATTGTCATTGTGGGAGACGCAACTTGCCGGTGGTGATGCAGCTCACTTCCCCTGTCTGAAAAATGTGTGCGTGACCCAACATGTGGCAGACATGAAGCGGTTCAAAGATAAAATAACGTAACGGGACTGTTACGGGAGTTTGAGCAACGCTTTCAGATTTATGTTTATATGTTTTTATGTTGATGTAATATTGTTTTTAATTGATTTTATTTTATTTGTATATTTAACCTATTCTTGACTCTGTGGTTCTTGCACTTGTTTGGGGAACAGGATTTCATTATTTTTATCTACATTTCTGCCTGAGAAATGACACCCTGATATAGTTCTGTGATCTGTGATATACTTCTGTGAATCACTGAGGCATTGTGTGTTTGTGTGTTCTTTGTCCTCAGAACTTTCAAATAACTTGAGGTGTTTTATGATTAATAGTGATGTTGTGCTTTTGGACACTGTCCTAAGGCTCCAGCTTTATGTTTATATGTTTTTATGTTGATGTGCTATTGTTTTTAATTGTTTTTATTTTATTTGTATATTTAACCTATTCTTGACTCTGTGGTTCTTGCACTTGTTTGGGGAACAGGATTGCATTATTTTTATCTACATTTCTGCCTGAGAAATGACACCCTGATATAGTTCTGTGATCTGTGAAACAGTTCTGTTAATCACTGAGGCATTGTGTGTTTGTGTGTTCTTTTTCTTTAGAATTTTCAAATAAACTTGACGTGTTTTATGATTAATAGTGATGTTGTGCTTGTACTATTTTGGACACACTGTCCTCAGGCTCCAGCTTTATGTTGTATGTTGATCGTATTAAAACAAAGAAAACAATCTGAAGTTGTTGTTTTTAAGTTATATATACCATGAATTTTCCGGTCCGGCCCACTTGGGAATAGATGTTCCTCCATGTGGCCCCTGAGCTAAAATGAGTTTGACACCCCTGGGTTAGAGGGACTAATTTGCCCCCCAAAAAACTCAAAGCCTCGGAGACTCAAAACAGCCTACAGGAGGAATCAATAGTAATTAGCCCACAGTGGTGACATTACGTGCCCCCTCCCACTCCTGTGACCTTTATAACTGTCACCCGCTACAATGGGTGACAGAGTGAGGGAGGGAGGGAGGGACCTTTCCTTCAGGCATCAACACCCTCTTTCTTTTTTTCCCACATCACTCTCTCTTCCTTTTCAAGGTGAAACAACATTCCAACAACAAAATCCCATTTAATCGTTTGACAAAAGTATTTTGTAGTTTGACAAGATCCTTTGTTTTGTTTTAAAAGCCTCTTTGAGATCCTTCATGTAATGAAAAGGGCTATATAAATTAAATATTATTATTATTATTAACACCCATATAAACCAAAACAACGGTCAACCCATTCCGAGTGGATCAAGCTCCATTCTTCCACTGTGTGAATTAAATAACATATCAGATAAGAGAGAGAGAGAGCACTCAGCCATTCATTATACTGTGTCCACTGAGACTGTCTCCCTTCTGAAGCGCTTCAGCACTTCCACTTCCTCTTCTATAAATACACATCCAGTCAGTCAGATTACTAGAAAGGCTGCTGGCCTGGTCACCATTGACCATGATGTGAGAGTGTTAAGCTCAAGGCTTTCCTTCAGGCCCAGTGTCCTGCCTATAAGTCCATCAATAGGTGTGAAGAGAGTCCTCCTGGAAGAAATCCTCATACACAGTAAGAAGATGTTTGGTGTGTGCTCTCACACTACCAGTCAATCCAACAGCAGTGGTGGAAGCTACCCTTAACCACAGATCTAGGATCAGATTCCCTACTCCCAATTCTAACTTTAACCATTAGACACTAACCAACTGTTAGGTTCTGAATAAACAGAGTAAAAACTCACGGATGACTAGAAAAAGCTAAAACCAAGTTTATTCAACCCACTGGGTGCTTCTGCTGCAAACACAACATACAAGTCACACAAACACATATTTATACCTTCCAACTAGGCGGAGTCATCTCCTTGCATGTCTAAGATAGACACTCCTCCTGTTGTTAGGCAGAAACACAGTAGCTTCCTCTTACAGGTATTCGCTCCTGAGTGGCGCAGTGGTCTAAGGCACTGCATCGCAGTGCTAACTGTGCCACTAGAGATCCAGGTTCGAATCCAGGCTCTGTCGCAGCCAGCCGCGACCGGGAGACTCATGGGCGGTGCACAATTGGCCCAGCGTTGTCCAGGGTAGGGGAGGGAATGGCCGGCAGGGATGTAGCTCAGTTGATAGAGCATGGCGTTTGCAACACCAGGGTTGTGGGTTCGATTCCCATGGGGGGCCAGTATTAAATAAATAAATAAATGTATTCACTAACTGTAAGTCGCTCTGGATAAGAGCGTCTGCTAAATGACTAAAATGTAAAACATTGTGATGGCCCTGTCTAAGTCTAGGACCCTCATGGGCGTGGAAATGTGTGTTTATGTGTGAGATAGGATGGTAATCAGATGTTCTTCTGTGCGGGCCCCTGTGGCCCCCCCTTCCATCAGTATCTTCTCTCTTCAACTGTTGACCTTATCTCGAGTTGAGTTCCACTTTCCTCCTGGTTCCGCAGCCATTGGCTTGCTTTATCAAGAACTGAAACTAGATTGTTGCGCTTTGCCTCCCTCCTTAGGAAATATTCTATAATAATATTTTTTGAATATGAACTTTCTGCAGCTCCCCTTTTCTCACTCAGTAACTTTCCACAAACCTAGTTCCTCTTTACCCTTCCTTGACCCCTAACATATACATTTTTTATACATGTAAAGTTATCACTAAGTTCTGGTATGGTTACATTAATAAGTATATTTCAAGCTAGAATCCAACACTACCCACAGATCTAGGATCAGATTCCCTACTCCAAATTATAACCTTAACCATTAGACACTAACCTACCCACATACATTCATTTACATTACATTTTAGTCATTTAGCAGACGCTCTTTTCCAGAGCGACTTACAGTTAGTGAGTGCATACATTTTTTTTTTTCATACCACGTGTAACCATGCCAGCCCAGGACCTCCACATCTGGCTTCTTTACCTGCGGGATTGTCTGAGACCAGCCACCCGGACAGCTGATGAAACTGAGGAGTATTTCTGTCTGTATTAAAGCCCTTTTGTGGTGAAAAACTCATTCTGATTGGCTGGGCCTGGCTCCCCAGTGGGTGGGCCTATACCCTCCCAGGCCCACCCATGGCTGTACCCCTGCCCAGTCATGTGAAATCCATAGATTAGGGCCTAATGAATTCATTTCAATTGACTGATTTCCTTATATGAACTGTAACTCAGTAAAATCGTTGAAATTGTTGCGTTTATATATATATATATATAAGCACACATGCACTATTCCACATGGACAGTATGAAGATGTGTAGTTATATCAATATCACTGAATGTAGGATATGGTTTGTGTGTGTGTTCAATAATCCTAATTGGAATATGTGGTGTAATTACTTTGGCTCGTACTCTGGGTAGCAGCTCTGCCTGAAATAACCTCCTCTCCTCTCTCTCCCTCCCTCTCTCTCCCCCTTGGTGTAAATCTCTGGGCATGGTGACAGGGATCAATGACAATCCTCAAAGATAGCCCCCACTGGAGCCCAGACTAAATCTCCCCCTAGCCATCCATCCATCCCCTCTGTCCTCTCAGCAGTGTTCCAAAATAACACGCTACGCATCATTAGTGGGTGTTACTGTGATATATAACGTTAGCTTTAGCGCTAGGTAGCATCGGGGCCGGCAGCGTCACATGGAGCCCCATGTGAACCACACGTGGAAAGGCCACTGCTGCTGCTCCACACTCCCTCCCTCTCCTCTATCTCTCCTCTCCTCCCTCTCTCCCTCCATCACAGTGGATCCTCTCCTCCCTGGTTCTAATCCGGCCTGGGCACATTGAGGCCCCTGTTTTAAATACGTCCGTCAGTGGGCAGGGATTAAAAACTCCAACAGGCCAGATTAGGAGGTTAAAAACAGACTGGAGCTTCCCCGCCAGCAGCTGGGTGCTGGGCTGGACACAGACCTAACTGACACTTCCTCTCAAATGAACCCCTCCTTTTCATCCCTCCTTCCTCTGTGGGGGAGAATAGAGGAGGCTGGGGATCTCCCGATGTGTAATCATGGAGTAGGAGGAGGAGGTTATTCCTCCCTTCCTTCGACTACTCTCTCATTCCACTGTCGAGCAGCATAAGCTTCAAAATATTTCCCTCTTTCTTCCTCCCTCTCTCTCCCTCAGTCTCTCGCTCTCTGTCCAGACGGTTGAGAGGGAGGGCATAGTCGGAGGGTGGAGTGGGGAGACGGTTTGAGAGAGGGGTATGTGACTTTGCCAAATGTTGTGGTTAGGAAAACACTTGCGTAACAATGCCCAGAAAAGATTTCTCTCTCTCCCTTCTCCTCCCTCTGTCTCTCCCAGTCCCTCTCTCCCCCACTGTCTCTTCCCCTCTCCCTCCTCCTCCCTCTCTCTCCTACTCCTCCTCCCTCACTTCCTTCTATCTCTCCTTCTCGCTCTCTCTCCCTCCTTCCCCCTCTCAAGGTCGTTGGGGGCCTGTGTGTCCTCATCAACACTTTGGTGGGGAGAGCAGGTAGCTCTCTTCTCACGCTACAATGCAGCTCTCCTCTCTGCTGGACCGTACTGTACAGTGACTCAGCAGAAACCAAAGTACATTCACTTAGGCTGCATCCCAAATGGCACCCTATTCCCCATGGGCTCTGGTCAAAAGTAGTGCACTATAAAAGGGAACAGGGTGTCAGTTGGGATGCACACTTAGACTGGAGTCAAGAGAATAATCTATTAACACAGACATATGCTGAATTGAGAGAACGAGACAAGCAATTACAATTTAAACAAGAGCTCCATCTAAATTTAGACTGATATTAATGCAATTTCAATGCAGCGGAAAAACACATCTATACTCCTATTGTCTTTCCTTTGTTTCGACAACAGACGCTCTCGCTCCAGGAAAATCATGATAACAAAGCCTGCCAATTGCAGCAGAGACAATACAGCGGCAGCCTGTGACGTGGACAAGACCACAGACAACCGATCAACACTCATCAACAGCCTCCAATCCCACCCAATGGACAGAATCATCTAAGGCTGCATCGTACATGGCACCATATGCGATGTATCGTGTAGTACATTTGACCAGGGAACATATGGTTCAGGTCAAAAGTAGTGCACTATATAGGGAATAGGGTGCCATTTAAGTCAGTCTACAAAAACAAGTCTTTAGAGTCAAAATCCCTAATTCCCAATACAAACCTCTATTTACCTCTCGGTAAAGCAGTGCCTTCCAGCACAGGGGTATAGTATCAGTCTTTCTATAGATCTGAGTGAGAGAGACTCCATACATAATGTTGAATGGAGCATCCACACAGAGGAGGACAACCCCCATGTCCGAACCCATGTCCGGGCCCCAGGCCCTGGCAGGCTGTGCTGCGTCACCAACCCCTGTGTGTGTGTGTGTTTGTTGTGTATAGGGCCCCTAGCTGCTCTAATCTGATTTGTAAGCCTTTGCATGGCTCTTATGTAACAGTGGGAGGATGAGTCGGAGCACTTGGTGAAGAGATACGAGCCCATTCCTCCCCATCCATGAGCCGCTGGATTGACACGGGAGGGGAAGAGCACCAGCTGGCGCTGTGTGTGTGTGTGTGTCTGAGTACAAAAGTGTGCATATGTGCGTAAGTGATGACTGTACGCAGACTGAGAATGTCTATGTCAGGGGTGTCAAACTCATTTTAGCTCAAGGGCCACATGGAGGAAAATCTATTCCCAAGTGGGCCGGACCGGAAAAATCATGGTATATATAACTTAAAAACAACAACTTCAGATTGTTTTCTTTGTTTTAATACGATCAACATACAACATATAGCTGGAGCCTGAGGACAGTGTCCAAAATAGTACAAGCACAACATCACTATTAATCATAAAACACGTCAAGTTATTTGAAAGTTCTGAGGACAAAGAACACACAAACACACAATGCCTCAGTGATTAACAGAACTGTTTCACAGATCACAGAACTATATCAGGGTGTCATTTCTCAGGCAGAAATGTAGATAAAAATAATGAAATCCTGTTCCCCAAACAAGTGCACGAACCACAGAGTCAAGAATAGGTTAAATATACAAATAAAATAAAAACAATTAAAAACAATAGCACATCAACATAAAAACATAAAGCTGGAGCCTGAGGACAGTGTCCAAAAGCACAACATAACTATTAATCATAAAACACCTCAAGTTATTTGAAAGTTCTGAGGACAAAGAACACACAAACACACAATGCCTCAGTGATTAACAGAACTGTTTCACAGATCACAGAACTATATCAGGGTGTCATTTCTCAGGCAGAAATGTAGATAAAAATAATGAAATCCTGTTCCCCAAACAAGTGCACGAACCACAGAGTCAAGAATAGGTTAAATATACAAATAAAATAAAATCAATTAAAAACAATAGCACATCAACATAAAAACATAAACATAAAGCTGGAGCCTGAGGACAGTGTCCAAAAGCACAACATCACTATTAATCATAAAACACCTGAAGTTATTTGAAAGTTCTGAGGACAAAGAACACACAAACACACAATGCCTCAGTGATTCACAGAAGTATATCACAGATCACAGAACTATATCAGGGTGTCATTTCTCAGGCAGAAATGTAGATAAAAATAATGAAATCCTGTTCCCCAAACAAGTGCAAGAACCACAGAGTCAAGAATAGGTTAAATATACAAATAAAATAAAAACAATTAAAAACAATAGCACATCAACATAAAAACATATAAACATAAATCTGAAAGCGTTGCTCAAACTCCCGTAACAGTCCCGTTATTTTATCTTTGAACCGCTTCATGTCTGCCACATGTTGGGTCGCGCACACATTTTTCAGACAGGGGAAGTGAGCTGCATCACCACCGGCAAGTTGCGTCTCCCACAATGACAGCTTCAACTTGAAAGAACGTATGCTGTCATAATACTGCGTGACAACTTTGTTGCGCCCTTGCAGCTGTTTGTTCAAGTTATTCAGGTGCTCTGTAACATCCACCATAAATGCAAGGTCCTGCATCCATTCTGCGGAATGAAATTCTAACACTGGTTTGCCCTTTTCTTCCATGAACTGTTCAATTTCTTCTCGTAAATCAAAGAAACGCCTCAGCACCTCGGCTTAACCATCTTACCTCAGTGTGGTATGGCAGGCCATAGATGTGGTCTTTCTCTCTGAGAAGGCTGTCAAACTGACGGTGATTCAGGCTTCTGGATCGGATGAAATTAACAGTTTGGATGACCACCTTCATGACGTTATCCATCTTTAATGACTTGCAACACAAAGCCTCCTGGTGCAAAATACAGTGAAAAGTCAAAAAATCACATCCTCCATTTGCAGATTGCACTTTCTCTCTGAACTTTGTCACAACGCCTGCTTTTTTCCCGTTCATTGAGGGCGCACCATCTGTAGCCAGGCTGACAGCGCGGGACCAGTCCACTCCGACCCTGTCCAGCGCGCCGACGAGTGCGGTAAAAATATCAGCTGCTGTCGTTGTATCTGTCATCGGCACCAACTCCACGAACTCCTCGGTGACGGTCAATGTGTCATCAACTCCGCGGATGAAAATGGCCAGTTGTGCAACATCTGTAATGTCCGTGCTTTCATCAATTGCAACCGAAAACGCAATAAATGACTTTACTTTTTGCTTCAACTGGCTGTCCAAATCCACTGAAAGATCGGAAATCCTGTCTGCAACTGTGTTTCTTGTCAGGCTGATATTTGCAAAAGCCTGCCGCTTTTCAGGGCACACAATCTCCGCTGCCTTCATCATGCATGTTTTTACAAATTCACCCTCACTAAATGGTTTTGAAGCCACTGCGATTTCATTAGCAATGAGGTAGCTAGCTTTCACTGCAGCGTCACTGATGTCTCGGCTGTGAGTAAACACAGACTGCTGTTTCTTCAGACCCGCCAACAGTTCATTCACCTTCTCTCATCTCCGCTGTCCTTGAAAGTTGTCATATTTGTCGGCATGAAGACTCACATAGTGGCAACGAAGGTTATATTCTTTCAGCACTGCAACATGCTCTGAACACACCAAACATACAGCTTTCCCATTCAATTCTATAGGATGACCATTTTTCTTGGAACACTCTGCACTCTGCGTCCACTTTTCTCTTTTTTGACAGAGACATATTGGGGCAATGAGGGTGCCAAAGCACATAATGTTAAAAGTAGAAGCCGTAATAAATATCGCGGGCAAAACAAAGTAGCTCATTGGCTGCACGTGCTTGACCTACTTGCTTTGCCCCGGTATAAACAGTTTGCTTGCTTAACACAATTGCTATTGCGCCATCCAGTGGACGCAATTGGAACAGCAGTTTATTTTATTGAAAAATTGCAGCGCATTTTTATACTTTACAAAATTATTATTACATTTTTTTTTTATTTTTTTTTTATCATCTCGTGGGCCGGATTAAACCCGTTTGCGGGCCTGATCCGGCCCGCGGGCCGGACGTTTGACACCCCTGGTCTATGTTATGTACATGGATGTTAAGGTGCTTCATGCGAGGGAGATTGATTTGTTCTTATTACATTCGTGATTTCATGTTTTTGATTATTATTTGTGGACATTTTTGCTGCACTGTTAAGAGCTGGTAACACAAGCATGTCGCTGCACCCGCTATAACATCTGCTAAACTGTGTATTCAACAAATAAACTTTGATTGGATTGTGTGTGTGTAACCTAGAGGGGGAATCCAGACATAAGAAGAACAACTACCTCCATCCTCATCCCCCTATCAGAGAGAGAGAGAGGGAGAGCTAGATAGAGAGATAGAGAGAGAGACCGAAAGAGAGAGAGAGAGAGAGAGAGAGAGAGCGAGAGAGAGAGAATTCTAATCCTGCATGCATGAGACTCGCAGCGCATAACCCATGATGCTTTGTGAGAAATCACTCGGTAACTTCTTCCTCATTCCTCTGGGGTCATATTGTACGTCTCTGGCCTGATCTTCCTGCACAATAAACACTGTATCTACTATTAGTGTACACTGACTACCGTACCACTGTGGTATTACTTATATTACTTACAGTGGACTAACCATAAACTTCATCACATGCGATTAACAGTGCAGCACACTACCCTGGCATGCAACAAGGCATTGCCATTGTCTATCACTGCTGTACTCGTGTCATTCAATCAGCTAGCAATGTATTCATAATAAAATGTATGTATCAAATACAGTGGGGGAAAAAAGTATTTAGTCAGCCACCAATTGTGCAAGTTCTCCCACTTAAAAAGATGAGAGGCCTAGGGGTGTAACGATCCATCTACTACATCGATGTATCGATTTATATTCCTATGATCCAACTACATCGATCTGTGCTCGGCGAGTTGGCATTTTGGACAACATATATCAATCTAACATCGTTTTAAAATGTAATAAATCGATTGTATCGATACTAGGAAATAACCCATTGGATTTAAGCACGTCAGACTTTATATGGATGTTTTTTCTTAGCACTTTTAATGATAAAGGCTTTAAACAGTACTCGATTCAGTCTGCCTATCCGTGACGTCATCGCCCCGCGCCAGCAGCAGCGCAAAGGCGCAAAGACAACAAAACATAGCATGGCGGACGACAGAGGAGAAGCCGACGAGCGAGAAATTATCAAGCCACCATTGCGGTCCTTACAAGAAACAGGAATCTAGGAAACTTCACCTGCACTGTCCAGTATCCAGGTATTTATTTCAGTCACACTGGTTGAATTTTTGGCTAAAAGGTTACTGAATCGATTTCAAGTCACTGAATCGTTTCGGATCGTATCGTTCTAAATGAACCAATATCGTCCTTGAATCGTATCGACAACCACGAATCGTGATACAAATCGAATCGTTGTTAAAACGAATCGTTACACCCCTAGAGAGGCCTGTAATTTTCATCATAGGTGCACGTCAACTATGACAGACAAAATGAGATTTTTTTCCCCCAGAAAATCACATTGTAGGATTTTTTATGAATTTATTTGCTAATTATGGTGGAAAATAAGTATTTGGTCAATAACAAAAGTTTCTCAATACTTTGTTATATACCCTTTGTTGGCAATGACACAGGTCAAACGTTTTCTGTAAGTCTTCACAAGGTTTTCACACACTGTTGCTGGTATTTTGGCCCATTCCTCCATGCAGATCTCCTCTAGAGCAGTGATGTTTTGGGGCTGTCGCTGGGCAACACGGACTTTCAACTCCCTCCAAAGATTTCCTATGGGGTTGAGATCTGGAGACTGGCTAGGCCACTCCAGGACCTTGAAATGCTTCTTACGAAGCCACTCCTTCGTTGCCCGGGCGGTGTGTTTGGGATCATTGTCATGCTGAAAGACCCAGCCACGTTTCATATTCAATGCCCTTGCTGATGGAAGGAGGTTTTCACTCAAAATCTCACGATACATGGCCCCATTCACTCTTTCCTTTACACGGATCAGTCGTCCTGGTCCCTTTGCAGAAAAACAGTCCCAAAGCATGATGTTTCCACCCCCATGCTTCACAGTAGGTATGGTGTTCTTTGGATGCAACTCAGCATTATTTGTCCTCCAAACACGACGAGTTGAGTTTTTACCAAAAAGTTCTATTTTGGTTTCATCTGACCATATGACATTCTCCCAATCCTCTTCTGGATCATCCAAATGCACTCTAGCAAACTTCAGACGGGCCTGGATATGTACTGGCTTAAGCAGGGGGACACGTCTGGCACTGCAGGATTTGAGTCCCTGGCGGCGTAGTGTGTTACTGATGGTAAGCTTTGTTACTTTGGTCCCAGCTCTCTGCAGGTCATTCACTAGGTCCCCCCGTGTGGTTCTGGGATTTTTGCTCACCGTTCTTGTGATCATTTTGACCCCACGGGGTGAGATCTTGCGTGGAGCCCCAGATCGAGGGAGATTATCAGTGGTCTTGTATGTCTTCCATTTCCTAATAATTGCTCCCACAGTTGATTTCTTCAAACCAAGCTGCTTACCTATTGCAGATTCAGTCTTCCCAGCCTGGTGCAGGTCAACAATTTTGTTTCTGGTGTCCTTTGACAGCTCTTTGGTCTTGGCCATAGTGGAGTTTGGAGTGTGACTGTTTGAGGTTGTGGACAGGTGTCTTTTATACTGATAACAAGTTCAAACAGGTGCCATTAATACAGGTAACGAGTGGAGGACAGAGGAGCCTCTTAAAGAAGAAGTTACAGGTCTGTGAGAGCCAGAAATATTGCTTGTTTGTAGGTGACCAAATACTTATTTTCCACCATAATTTGCAAATAAATTCATTAAAAATCCTACAATGTGATTTTCTGGATAAATTTTTCTCATTTTGTCTGTCATAGTTGACGTGCACCTATGATGAAAATTACAGGCCTCTCTCATCTTTTTAAGTGGGAGAACTTGCACAATTGGTGGCTGACTAAATACTTTTTTTCCCCACTGTATACATACAACGAATTACACCCAACAGATGCCGAAAAATTATCACGACACCTTTCTTCAATGTCCTATCGCCCATAACCAGGTCTTACTAACTGGACTGTCTAAATAAATGGAACAATAGGCTGTACATACACATCTACACAAGAGAATGATAACAGAGGTATTGTCATTCCACAGCCACACATCTCATTAGAACGTTCCAGTCCTCTCCCATTCAGTCACTGTTCTAGGGGAAATGGTAGCTAAAGGTGTGAATAACCGAACAATAACCCTCCCTTTCTCAATTTCTATCCGTCTCTACACCCACTACCTCTGTCATATTTTCTCCATCACATCCTCCACATTCCTCTCCTCTCTCAACAGCTACGTCTCTCCCCCTCTTTATCACGCTGTCGCTCTTCCTTCTCTCTCTCTCTCTCTCTCGACATGGGAAACGTATGTTAACATTGCCAAAGCAAGTGAAGTAGATAGTAAACAAAAGTGAAATAAACAATAAAAATGAACAGTAAACATTACACTCAGAACTTCCAAAAGAATAAAGACATTTCAAATGTCATATTATGTCTATATACAGTGTTGTAACAATGTGCAAATAGTTAAAGTACAAATGGGAAAATAAGTAAACATAAATATGGGTTGTATTTACAATGGTGTTTGTTCTTCACTGGTTGCCCTTTTCTTGTTGCAACAGGTATCAAAAATCGTGCTGCTGTGAGGGCACACTGTGGTATTTCACCCAGTAGATAAGGGTGTCTAATTGTGTTGCTGTCCTGGGGCTCTGTGGGGTCTGTTTGTGTTTGTGAACAGAGCCACAGGACCAGCTTGCTTATGGGACTCTTCTCCAAGTTTGTTATGGAAGGTTTGGGAATTGCTTCCTTTTAAGTGGTTATAGAATTTAATGGTTCTTTTCTGGATTTTGATAATTAGCGGGTATCGGCCTAATTCTGTTCTGCATGCATTATTTGTTGGTTTTCGTTGTACACAAAGGATATTTTTGCAGAATTCTGCATGCAGAGTCTCAATTTGGTATTATTATTATTATTATTATTAATTTGGTGTTCGTCCCATTTTGTGAGTTCTTGGTTGGTGAGCGGACCCCAGACCTCACAACCATAAAGGACAATTTGTTCTATAACTGATTCAAGTATTTTTTGCCAGATCCTAATTGGTATGTCAAATTGTATGTTCCTTTTGATGGCATAGAAGGCCCTTCTTGCCTTGTCTCTCAGATCGTTCACAGCTTTGTGGAAGTTACCTGTGGCGCTGATGTTTAGGCTGAGGTATGTATAGTTTTTTGTGTGCTCTAGGGCAACGGTGTCTAGATGGAATTTGTATTTGTGGTCCTGGCAACTGGACCTTTTTTGGAACACCATTATTTTTGTCTTACTGAGGGGCCATGTCTGACAGAATCTATGCAGAAGATCTAGGTGCTGCTGTAGGCCCTTCTTGGTTGTTGACAGAAGCACCAGATCATCAGCAAACAGTAGACATTTGACTTCAGATTCTAGTAGGGTGAGGCCGGGTGCTGCAGACTGTTCTAGTGCCCTCGCCAACTCGTTGATATATATGTTAGAGGGTGGGGCTTAAACTGCATCCCTGTCACACCCCACGGCCCTGTGGAAAGAAATGTGTGTGTTTTTTGCTAATTTTAACCTCACACTTGTTGTTTGTGTACATGGATTTTATAATGCCGTATGTTTTTCCCCCAACCCCACTTTCCATCAATTTGTATAGCAGACCCTCATGCCAAATTGAGTCAAAAGCTTTTTTGAAATCAACAAAGCATGAGAAGACTTTGCCTTTGTTTTGGTTTGTTTGTTTGTCAATTAGGGTGTGCAAGGTGACTACGTGGTCTGTCGTACGGTAATTTGGTAAAAAGCCAATTTGACATTTGCTTAGTACATTGTTTTTACTGAGGAAATGAACTAGTCTGCTGTTAATGATAATGCAGAGGATTTTCCCAAGGTTGCTGTTGACGCATATCCCACAGTAGTTATTGGGTTCAAATCTGTCTCCACTTTTGTGGATTGGGGTGATCAGTCCTTGGTTCAAAATATTGGGGAAGATGCCAGAGCTAAGGATGATGTAAAAGAGTTTAAGTATAGCCAATTGGAATTTGTGGTCTGTATATTTTATCATTTCATTGAGGATACCATCAACACCACAGGCCTTTTTGGGTTGGAGGGTTTGTATTTTGTCCTGTAGTTCATTCAATATAATTGGAGAATCCAGTGGGTTCTGACAGTCTTTAATAGTTGATTCTAAGATTTGCATTTGATCATGTATATTTTTATGCTGTTTGTTAAAGGGCCAAAAAGATTGGAGAAGTGGTTTAATCTCCCGAGTGGCGCAGTGGTCTAAGGCACTGCATCGCAGTGCTAGCTGTGCCACTAGAGATCCTGGTTCGAATCCAGGCTCTGTCGTAGCTGGCCGCGACCGGGAGACCCATGGGGCGGCGCACAATTGGCCCAGCGTCGTCCAGGGTAGGGGAGGGAATGGCCGGCAGGGATGTAGCTCAGTTGGTAGAGCATGGCATTTGCAACTTTATTTTTTATTTATTTTTATTTATTTTATTTCACCTTTATTTAACCAGGTAAGCCAGTTGAGAACAAGTTCTCATTTACAACTGCGACCTGGCCAAGATAAAGCATAGCAGTGCGATAAAAACAACAACACAGAGTTACATATGGGGTAAAAAAACATAAAGTCAAAAGATACAACAGAAAATATATATACAGTGTGTGCAAATGTAGCAAGTTATGGAGGTAAGGCAATAAATAGGCTATAGTGCAAAATAATTACAATTAGTATTAACACTGGAATGATAGATGTGCAAGAGATTATGTGCAAATAGAGATACTGGGGTGCAAAAGAGCAAAATAAATAACAATATAGGGATGAGGTAGTTGGGATGGGCTAATTTCAGATGGGCTGTGTACAGGTGCAGTGATCGGTAAGGTGCTCTGACAACTGATGCTTAAAGTTAGTGAGGGAGATAAGTGTCTCCAGCTTCAGAGATTTTTGCAATTCGTTCCAGTCATTGGCAGCAGAGAACTGGAAGGAATGGCGGCCAAAGGAGGTGTTGGCTTTGGGGATGACCAGTGAGATATACCTACGGGTGGGTGCTGCTATGGTGACCAATGAGCTAAGATAAGGCGGGGATTTGCCTAGCAGTGATTTATAGATGGCCTGGAGCCAGTGGGTTTGACCACGAACATGTAGTGAGGACCAGCCAACAAGAGCGTACAGGTCACAGTGGTGGGTAGTGTATGGGGCTTTGGAGACAAAACGGATGGCACTGTGATAGACTACATCCAATTTGCTGAGTAGAGTGTTGGAGGCTATTTTGTAAATGACATCGCCGAAGTCAAGGATCGGTAGGATAGTCAGTTTTACGAGGGCATGTTTGGCAGCATGAGTGAAGGAGGCTTTGTTGCGAAATAGGAAGCCGATTCTAGATTTAACTTTGGATTGGAGATTCTTAATGTGAGTCTGGAAGGAGAGTTTACAGTCTAACCAGACACCTAGGTATTTGTAGTTGTCCACATACTCTAGGTCAGACCCGTCGAGAGTGGTGATTCTAGTCGGGTGGGCGGGTGCCAGCAGCGTTCGATTGAAGGGCATGCATTTAGTTTTACTAGTGTTTAAGAGCAGTTGGAGGCTACTGAAGGAGTGTTGTATGGCATTGAAGCTCGTTTGGAGGTTTGTTAACCCAGTGTCCAATGAAGGGCCAGATGTATACAAAATGGTGTCGTCTGCGTAGAGGTGGATCTGAGAGTCACCAGCAGCAAGAGCGACATCATTGATATACACGGAGAAAAGAGTCGGCCCAAGAATTGAACCCTGTGGCACCCCCATAGAGACTGCCATAGGTCCAGACAACAGGCCCTCCGATTTGACACACTGAACTCTATCTGAGAAGTAGTTGGTGAACCAGGCGAGGCAACGCCAGGGTTGTGGGTTCGATTCCCACAGGGGGTTGGAAAAAAAATAATGTATGCATTCACTAACTGTAAGTCGCTCTGGATAAGAGCGTCTGCTAAATGACTAAAATGTAAATGTAAATGTTTACCCATACATCTCCGTTTTGGACAGATAGCTTTTTGTGTTGTTGTTTGTTTAGTGTTTTCCAATTTTCCCAGAAGTGGTTAGAGTCTATGGATTCTTCAATTACATTGAGCTGATTTCTGACATGCTGTTCCTTCTTTTTCCGTAGTGTATTTCACCATAGTGAAGGCGTAGGCTCAGGTTTTCTGGGTCTCTATGTTTTTGGTTGGATAGGTTTCTCAATTTCTTTCTTAGGTTTTTGCATTTTTCATCAAACCATTTGTCATTGTTGTTACTTTTCTTCAGTTTTCTGTTAGAGATTTTTGGATTTGATAGGGAAGCTGAGAGGTCAAATATACTGTTTAGGTTTTCTACTGCCAAGTTTACACCTTCACTATTACAGTGGAATGTTTTGTCCAGGAAGTTGTCTAAAAGGGATTGAATTTGTTTCGACACTACTTTCCTTCCATCTATTGTATTTCTTAATATTATTCAGTTCCTTTGGCTTTGATGCCTCATGATTGAGTATTGCTCTGTTCAAGTAGACTGTGATTTTGCTGTGGTCTGATAGGGGTGTCAGTGGGCTGACTGTGAACACTGAGCGACTCTGGGTTGAGGTCAGTGATAAAGTCATCTACAGTACTACTACCAATAGATGAGCTATAGGTGTATCTACCATAGGAGTCCCCTCGAAGCCTACCATTGACTATGTACATACCCAGCGTGCGACAGAGCTGCAGGAGTTGTGACCCGTTTTTGTTGGTTATGTTGTCGTAGTTGTGCCTAGGGGGGCATATGGGGGAGGGAATGCTGTCACCTCCAGGTAGGTGTTTGTCCCCCTGTGTGCTGAGGGTGTCAGGTTCTGGCATATAAGTCACCACAGACTAGTACATGTCCCTGGGTCTGTAAATGATTGATTCCCCCCTCCAGGATGGAGAAGCTGTCTTCATTAAAGTATGGGGATTCTAGTGGGGGGGGGGATATAGGTAGCACACAGGAGGACATTTTTCTCTGTTGAGATAATTTCCTTTTGAATTTCTAGCCAAATGTAAAATGTTCCTGTTTTGATTAAATTAATAGAGGGAGTTAGGTATGCTCTATACCAAATTAGCATACCCCCCTGTTTCACAGCTGGTAGTTTGGTGGATGGGATTACCAGCTCTGTAACCTAGAGGGCAACCAGTGGGTCCGTCTCCTTTATACCATGTTTCTTGTAGGATCTCTCTCTCTCTCCCTCTCTCTCCCTCTCTCTCCACCCCCTCCCCTCCCCTCCCCCCGAGAAGGGCCCTTGTGAGTTATGTAATAATAATAAATAATAATATGCCATTTAGCAGACGCTTTTATCCAAAGCGATTTACAGTCATGCGTGCATACATTTTTGTGTATGGGTGGTCCCGGGGATCGAACCCACTACCTTGGCGTTACAAGCGCCGTGCTCTACCAGCTGAGCTACAGAGGACCACATGTAAATTAACGGCTCTGGGCAACAACTATTCTGCCGCCGCCGAATTTAGTGAGGAGGGGCCAAGGCTTTCATCCTGGTTAGAAAGCCTCTCATCATGAGGGTGGAGAGAGCGAGAGAGAGGAGAGAGCCAAAAACGAGGACAGAAATGTGTCACGACTCAGAGGAGTGCAGAGGCTCCATCATCCAGATTACTGCTGCTGCCACGACGACCAGTGACTCACCCCCTCCCCTTTCCAGCATCGTTGTCGTGCCAACAATGCATCACGAGCCCGAGCCCCAGCCTGAGCCGGAATCTCCATTTCAAAGGAGAAAAGGAATGAGAGGGATAATGACATGGGATAATGACATGGGATAATGAAAGGGATTTGACTGTAGATGGCCTTGACTTCCTATGACATGACACCACACAGGGAGATGGATTGTCCTTGAGGGGTTGTCTAATGTTATTATAATGTTGTTAGCATGTTGTGAGGATGTTATTAGGGTGTTAACACAGTGGCTGACAGCTTGTCAGTGGTGATTCTGCTTACGACTTGGGGGCTTCAGGCATGCTGTACTGGACAGAGTCTATCCACTAGCATCCACCATCTTGTTGGTATTAATATCATAAGATAATTGGCATTAGTACTCTGCTGGGAAAAATGCTTTAATATAAATTTGTCTCTACACTCTCACAATATTTAACCTAATTCTGTCACCATCTTGTTGATATCTCAATGATATGTTTGAATTAACAGTAAATGCTCTCTGTCTGTTTTGATATAACTTGGCGTTCAAATAAATTATTTTGACACAGACATTTCTTACAGCTTTACTGAAGTGTGTGTGTGTGTGTGTGTGTGTCCTAATCCTTGGGTCCACGAGAGGCCCATTTATCCTAAAATAATATGAAAAGCCTCTCCTATAACTCACTAGCTCACTGTCAGGGCTCTCCAGATTACCCCGTCTAAATAGATTCTGCCTGAGCTCCAACAAGAAGAAAAAGTGCATCCTCAGTGTCATGTCAAAATAACAGCCTAGTAACCAATCTCATGATTTATCCAATGAAACAACAGAGAGCATTTGTGATGAATTACGATACAAACAAAATCAAGGCTATAATACATTTATATTTGTACTTGTTGCACTCTTCATTCCCTCATTACAAACAGACAGACACTACAAGGCAGACTAAAACAGATTCGGTACAACTAGATTGTATTGACTGAATAGGATTGTAAAACATCAAACTGATGCTGGCCACATAAGAATAGAGGATTGTACTGTAGACACTGGGAACCTACAGAGGGTTATAAAGTCATATTTGCTAACATCTGGAACCTGGCCCTGACCAAACCTTACATTGTCAAGATAATACATGGTTCTGGAGCTATTTCTCTCTCAGGTCAAAGAGCTCAGTCTATATGAGTCTTTGGAGTGTGTGTCTGTGTGTGTGTGTGTGTGTGTGTGTGTGTGTGTGCAGTCCCGCACACATATACACACAAACCATCCAGCATCTCAGTCTCAAGGGGTTGTGGAGGCAGTAATGACCTCTCTGGGAGGTGAATCCATCACCAGTCCTCTCTGTGTCGGTATGGTCTGGACTACTGATGCCAAGGGAGAAATCCTCTACCTTACCCTAACACAGTCACAAAGATCCATGGCATCGATAGTGGGCCATTAGAACCCCAGCCTAGAATCCCAAATGATATGTTCTGTTTCACCTAGTAACAACAAACAGAACATATCCGTTTGGATTCCAGGCTATTAGAAGCGCTCACCCAGACTACACAGTCATTACAAACTGACAGGATGAACTGCTAGAACACGCAAAGTCAAACGAGTGCACAGCCCCAGGTCAACGGCACCACTTTGAACCACCATCTTTACTAAGTACCTTTCATCTGCTACAGTAGAAGGTGAAACAGCTCTGTGGTGGTTTAATGACACATGAACACTACACCACGTTTCAAATATGTAAATCTGGGAGAGAACATGTAAAGCCGAAGCCACTTAGCTAGCTGCAGTCGCTAACGTCGCTTGAGGGAAGAGTAGCATTAGGCGAAATATAACGACAAGAACCTGACTGTTACTGACAGCTTCCTATAGGGTGGCGGTATGTGGTGGGCTGTATGTATGGTGTTATAACGTACAGCTCCAGGAGGAGTACAAGGAAGTATAGAGAGACTATTTATTAGACTCTGAAAGCAGAGAAAAAGGAGGAGAGGAACAGAGGAGGAGACTGACTGTATGGCAGTTCTTTCTCAGGGTCTCTCTCAGGGGGCTGGTGATAAACCATCTCAGGGTCTGTAGGTATGGAGAGAGGGGGAGCAGGAGAGAAAGTGATAAAATATGCAAAAGAGAAGTGGAGGAACAGGAAGGGCTAGGTGATGTAAACATAACCAGGGCGCGAGAGAGAGAGAGAGAGAGAGAGGGGAGAAAGCAGAGAAAGAGGGAGAGAAAAGCGTGGGAGGAGAGAGGAAAAGTGATGGGAACGGAGAACGAGAGGTATGTGACAGATGCTATGACAGTATGTCCATGAGGGTGGGGTGGTGGGCTGGTCAGGAGGGCTGGGGTCCAGCCAGAGGACCATGGGTTACTTCCTACCTAGGGGCTTCTGAATCACTGCAGCCTGCGGAAGGTGTCAGGTTTCACCAAGTCATGGGTTTTATTCACTAGGAACCAAACAGAATACAACGGGGAGGGACCTACCTGAATGTGTCCAATAGAAACTTGTTTTTGTTGCAAAACAACTGTTTGCACTAATGATTACACCCATGGTCAACAGTTTCTGACGGCGGCCATCTTGTTTCTTACAACACACTGTACATTACATACAGTCTTTATCCTTAGCTACTTTGTTACTGCACAGTATGCACACTGCACATTAACTTAGTGATATCATATACCACTTCTACTCTGTACATTGATACGGTCATTTCTAATATTCATGGCATAAATAAAAAGGCGTTTATAAAGTTGGCCTATGTTAATTGAAAAACTGTACCTTCCAGATTAATCTCATAAAACAAGAAGAAAATAAATGGAGTCGAGCTCAAAGGAACATTCGCTACATTTCAGTCTGATAAAGATAAATGTGAGTGGTTCCCTCCACGTCTCACTACAGCGACAAACCATCAAGGGCAGTAGTGTTATTCATGGTTTGCCTGGGAGCTGGGAAAGACAAGCAGTCGGCTGTGGACGCCTAAATCAATACTGCAGCAGAAACCCATTCCTCATCCTCACAGACCTGAGCAAATACTCCCGCAGACTGTCAATCAGACAGCACCAGCCGAGCGCAGATAAAAAAACAACAAAAAAAACAGATATGCCTAATGTTGACATCGGTATGACTCAACCCGCGGTGAGTAATTACAAAGCCCCCTTGAAGACTCACATGTCTGTCAATATATTTGATATTGAGTCCATTACATTCAGATCAGGGTATATTTCATTGAATTTCCTCTCTGTTGATAAGGTCGTGACTGGAAGGGAAATAAGATCCAGGATTGTAATGATATACCCAGAGATCAGTGCTCAGACTGTCAAGCCAACTGAATACAGAGTAGGAGAGACAAGGGCTGCATCTCAATAGTCAGTGGCTTCCTCCCCTCGTCTCCCCCAGTCTCCTCTCCTTCACCTGGGCAGTTCTGAGAACGCAGCACAGGTGACAGCAATATGGTGAACTTCTACCACAAATGTTCTTTCACCTGTCCAGTCCCTTCACCTCAGTGCAACTGAAGGAGAGACGAAGAGAGGAAGCCACTGTAGACTATTAAGACGCACCCCATACTGTAGGGCTGAGATAGAGGCTACATTACATCAGTGGAGGCTGCTGAGGGGAGGACGGCTCATAATAATGTGTGGAATGGAGTCAATGGAATGGTATTCACCCCAAGGAAACGACGCGTTTGATTCCATTCCATTGACTCCATTTCAGACATTATTATGAGCCGTCCTCCCCTCAGCAGCCTCCACTGCATTACATTACACTAGCAGTCCAGTGGTGTATTCCTAGCTGAATCGCCTCAGGGCTCCACACATGAACAGTGGTGATACCACACATGATATCAATAGCATCAACGCAGAGCAGGATAATTCATTCCATACTTTTTTCTCCACACGGACATCCATTACACCACTCTGTATTCTCAATATCGGGTCTCAATATTGTCCCACAGATAAACAAACGATAAACAAGCAAGGCTGAACAGGTAGCATTGAGCCAGCTTCGGATAGCACTGAGACAGCTTCGGATAGCACTAAGACAGCTTCGGATAGCACTGTGCCAGCGTCGGATAGCTTTGAGCCAGCTTCGGATAGCATTGAGCCCGCTTCGGATAGCATTGAGACAGCTTCGGATAGCATTGAGCCATCTTCGGATAGCATTGAGCCAGCTTCGGTCAGCATTGAGCCAGCTTCAGATAGCATTGAGCCAGCTTCAGATAGCATTGAGACAGCTTCAGATAGCATTGAGACAGCTTCAGATAGCATTGAGACAGCTTCAGATAGCATTAAGACAGCTTCAGATATCATTGATACAGCTTCAGATGATAGCATTAAGACAGCTTCAGATATCATTGTGCCAGCTTTAGATAGCATTGAGACAGCTTTAGATAGCATTGAGCCAGTGTGTGTGTGATGTGTACGTGTGTATGTGTACGGTATGTGTGTACTCATCCATATTTAACGACTACTGCATGAGATAACGGGAATAGGCAATTGCTGGTTCTCAAAGCCTTTCTAAGGCAAGCCATTCAGGGTGATGGGGCTGATGGGAATTGGAAGCGTGCCCAAGGAGTCATTCAGAAACACACAACTGGGAAATCCATAGGAATGACTGGAGAAAGCCCCTTTGAGGATTTCATGTATTAACATATAATAAGGTGTTCCTGTACAAGGCGGGAGAATGTGGCATACTAGGGCAGTGTGTGTGTGTGTGTGTATGTGTGTGTGTGTCCACACACTTGCGGACACACACACACACACACACACACACACACACACACACACACACACACACACACTCTCCCAAGGCTGCTGGGACCGCACATTCAACTTCCTCCTCTTAGCGTTGCCATGCCTACCAACTCTCAAGTCTCTGACCCCCCCCCTGTGTGATTACCATTTCTAACATGTCCAACAGCTGACGGCTGTGATACAAACCCCTCCAGCTAAGTGACTCACACAGTGATTAAAAATACCTACATCCTTTCTTTGGCTTTTCTCGTTTAATCTAAACTGTCTAATCCCTCATTCATTTTGGGAAGCACAACATTCGATAGTGTTTACCCATAATGCACAGCTGTTTGTTTCTGCAAGTGCATTTTGGATAATGAAGAGTCTTTATGTGTGTACACAACTCAAACCATGGAGCTAATTTAGGAAGATAGGATTTAAACTGCAGGATAACTAGTATGGAATAGCAAATATGCCTAATGGGAGACTAATGTGAATGGATCTCATCTGGCTTGCCATAACATAAGATAATGCAGTTGCTAGATTGCAATGGCGATTTCAAGAGTGGGCCAAAAATCTCTAACAGACAACAAGTATAATTAGTGACATCAGAGATTTGCGCTAGCTACACGGCTTTCACCTATTAAGTCATGTCAGATCTGTGACGTACTTCAAGGAAGAAAGGAAGGTAGGGAGGAAGCAAGGAAGGTAGGAAGGAAACAAGGAAGGTAGGAAGGAAACAAGGAAGGTAGGAAGGAAACAAGGAAGGTAGGAAGGAAGAAGAAAGAATAGGCATGTGCAGTTCAGTCGTTCAACATTTCAACATGTGTCACGTTCCAGAGATTAGGCCCATGATGATAATGTGATGGCAGCTTTGAGTCACCGCCAACTGCTCCAGTATGATCACTGCTGTTTGATTCATCTGAATATAATCCCTGCAGATCTATTCATGGTCAGCTCTGTAGTGAGTGGGACGGTGTGTGTGTGTGTGTTTCTGGTTTTACTATCCTTATGGGGACCAGAATTGATTGTTTGGTCCCCTCAAGGATAGTTAAACAAACGTGTGTGTTTGTGTGTGAGGTGGGGGGAATCCTATTCTGCTAATAAAGCTGTGTGACCTGGATGTACCACATGCTTAAACCCAGCGGAAGTGTGTGTGTGTGTGTGTGTCTAAGTATGCGTGTGTGTGGAGGGTTCATGCCCTGTATGTTTCTATGACTGGCACAGGTTATCACCATACAATGAGAGTTTCTCAATACTACAGCATCCATACTTTAGTCTGACAACTGACGACTTCCTAATATGGACGCCATACATCACAGCCATTGCAGGCTGTGGCACACACCCCTGGGAGACCAAGGAAAGATCTCAATTGCGTAATCCTCGCGTCCTCTTCTCTTTCCTTGTCTCCTTCTCAAAACCCATTGGATGAAAAAGCCAGAGGTCCCTCCCTTCTCCTCCAATGGGTTTTGAGAAAGTAGAGAGGATGTGAGGAGTATGCAATTGAGACCCGGCACAGCCAGAAGAGGACTGGACACCCCTCAGAGCCTGGTTCCTCTCTAGGTTTCTTCCTAGGTTCCTGCCTTTCATGGGTGTTTTTCCTAGCCACCGTGCTTCTACATCTGCATTGCTTGCTGTTTGGGGTTTTAGGCTGGGTTTCTGTATAAGCACTTTGTGACATCTACTGATGTAAAAAGGGCTTTAGAAATACATTTGATTTGATTGATTGATCTTCCCCAAGTGTACAGAGACACACTTCAAGCACACACATGCTTAATCACATTCCACACTCACAATCACACTCCAATACTGCATACACCTACATACACGCATGCATACCACACGCTCCAAACACACACCTCTCTGGTTTCTCAAGGGGGGGGGATTTGTGCGGCAGAGTGCTCATTAGTGCTAAGGTCAGCTGGTACAGTAATGACACGCTCCACTGTGGTGTCTATGAGTCATCGGTAGACCTGATTGGTCCATGGGAATGAACGGATGCTCGCCGACACACACACACACTGCTTATATGAAAGCCTGCACACACACACAGACACACATATATATGAAAGCCTACACACACACATAGTGCCCCAGAGTTGGTCCCCTGTCTCTGTCTCTGTGGTCACCATTCATTATCCTGCTGCTGATCTCCCCTGTTATTCAGTTACAGAGGCCTGATCATACAGTTGCTGAGGACTCTCTCCACTACTCCTCTCCTCTCCTCTTCTCTCCTCTCCTCTCCTCCTCTATGAGGCCTGGTGATACAGTTGCTGAGGACCAGGACCAGGACCCTCCCCTCTCCTTTCCTTCTTCCTCTCTTCTTCCTCTCTCTTACTGAGTTGCAATGACTCACATGCAAGGATCCAACATTTTTAACCAACCCCAACACCCTTCACATTTACTCATTGACGATGGGTTTACACTGCAATAAAGGTGCTTGAAATCTTTTAACTACCAATACTCTATGGGTTGATGACCTATTGTCCAATACCTGACCCCTGACAGGGCTGACATGTCAGAGGAGAAATGAGACAATAGATCACTGATATTACCATGACACATGCCCAGTGAATTACGCTCACGTCCATAAATTACACAGACAGACAGAGCAGTAGGTTGAACACAGTACCCATCATAGTTACAGATGTAGGATCTGAATTCGATCACCCTGTTGCAGGAGAACTTTCCAGCAATGCAGTAAATGTAAAATATGTAGTGTATTTGAAGTTGACAAAGTTTGTAATTTCCATTTTGAAAAACGAAAAATGTATCAACCCCTACACAAATTCCATTAATTATTATCCACATTTCCTGTTGCTGCAGGAATATTTTCCTGCTGTAGCAAACTTGCTTAAATTGTGTATAGCATATACAGTGCCTTCGGAAAGTATTCACACACCTTGACTTATTCCACATTTTGTTGTTTTACAGCCTGAATTTGAAATGGATTAAAGGCCTACACAAAATCCCCCATAATGTCAAAGTGGAATTATGTTTTTCAAAATGTTTACAAATTAATAAAAAATTAATGCTGAAATGTCTTGAGTCAATAAGTATTCAACCCCTTTGTTATGGCAAGCCTAAATACGTTCAGGAGTAAACATTTGCTTAACAAGTCACATATTAAGTTGCATGGACTCACCCTGTGTGCAATAATAGTGTTTAACATGATTTTTGAATGTACCTCATCTCTGTACCCCACACATACAATTATCTGTAAGGTTCCTCAGTCGAGCAGTGAATTCCAAACACATATTCAACCACAAAGACCAGGGAGGTTTTCCAATGCCTCGCAAAGAAGGGCACATATTGGTAGATGGGTAAACATAAAAAAAGCTGAAATTGAATATCCCTTTGAACATGGTGAAGTTATTAATTACACTTTGGATGGTGTATCAATACACCCAGTCACTACAAATATATAGGTGTCTTTCCTAACTCAGTTGCCGGAGAGGAAGGAAACCAATCAGGGATTTCACCATGAGGCCAATGGTGACTTTAAAACAGTTACAGAGTTTAATGGCTGCGATAGGAGAAACTGAGAATGGATCAACAACATTGTAGTTACTCCACAATACTAACCTAATTGACAGAGTGAAAAGAAGGAAGCCTTTAAAGAATAAAAATATTCCAAAACATGCATCCTGTTTGCAACAAGGCAGTAAAGTAATAATGCAAAAGATGTTGCAAAGCAATTAACTTTTTGTCCTGAATACACAGTGTTATGTTTGGGGGAAAAATCCAATACAACACATTATAGTTGCTTAACAAGAAGACAATGAATATTCCTGAGTGGCCTAGTTACAGTTTTGACTTAAATCTGCTTGAAACATCTATGGCAAGACTTGAAAATGGCTGTCTAGCAATGATCAACAACCAATTTGACAGAGCTTGAAGAATTTTGAAAATAATAATGAGCAAATATTGTACAATCCAGGTGTGTAAAGCTCTTAGAGACTTACCCAGAAAAACTCACAGCTGTAATCGCTGCCAAAGGTGATTCTAACATGTATTGACTCAGGGCTGTGAATACTTACTTTCAACAAATGTGCAAAATAATTATGGGGTATTGTCGTTATGGGGTATTGTATGTAGATGGATGAGAAACAAAATCTAATTTATTCCATTTTGAATTCAGGCTGTAACAAAATGTGGAATAAGTCTAGGGGTATGAATACTTTCTGAAGGCACTGTATGTACCTACAGCAATCTATAATCACCATCCATAACTCATGTGTGGGTGGTCTGGTCTCCCTTAGGAACTGAGAGACACTGTGCATGTGTGTGTGTGTGTGTGTGTGTGTGAGATGGGAGAAATCCTATCTCTAATAGGATTCTGGTAATAAAGCTGTGTGACCTGGATGCTCCACATGTTTAAATACACAGCAAAAGTGTGTGTGTGTGTGTAAGTGTGCATGTATGTGTTCTCCTGGGGCTTATCACCATGTGCAGGTGTGCCTTACTAGCCACAGATGTAGCACTGATGACTCCTATTGAATCCATCCTATTTGTGACGTCCCTGATACTGGCTCCATCTTGGACCTGGCCAATGCTTAACATGAAACAGCCTACCATAAACACAAAATACCATAACAATGTTCAGATTTTAGAACACCATATGTTAAGGATTCCCTCCCCTCACCTGTCTTCCTTCTGGAAGCCTCTGGAGCTTTCCCCTCCCAGTCCGCCCTCTCAGCCCCAGCCTGCATTCCTGTGTTTCCCAGCAGCAGTAGGTGATGCCCAGCATATTTAACATCTAACTCCTGAATAAAACATATTTCATGGCCTGAATACTGATGTTATGGGGGGAGGGGGAGAGGGAGAGAGAGAGACAGAGGAGAAATAGAGAGCTGCTATATCTGCCTCCTATCAAACTGCCTAGTCTATTCTCCAGGCGCCATCACTCTCCAAGACAGGGACTGGGAAATACAAAGTTGAGATAGGAATGAATGCGTAATGACCGGCCGTGACTGTGCTGTTAGCTCATAGAACTACTCTCTCCTGTACCACTTTCAGCCTACTATCATTATGATGAGAGAGGATAGTTCAAAACCCTCCTCAACACACTGCCTGTAAAGCAAGGGTGTCAAACGTCCGGCCCGCGGGCCGGATCAGGCCCGCAAACGGGTTTAATCCGGCCCGCGAGAAGATAAAAAAAAAAAAAAAAAAAAGTAAAGTATGTAAAGTATAAAAATGCGCTGCAATTTTTCAATAAAATAAACTGCTGTTCCAATTGCGTCCACTGGATGGCGCAATAGCAATTGTGTTAAGCAAGCAAACTGTTTATACCGGGGCAGAGCAAGTAGGTCAAGCACGTGCAGCCAATGAGCTACTTTGTTTTGCCCGCAATATTTATTACGGCTTCTACTTTTAACATTATGTGCTTTGGCACCCTCATTGCCCCAATATGTCTCTGTCAAAAAAGAGAAAAGTGGACGCAGAGTGCAGAGTGTTCCAAGAAAAATGGTCATCCTATTTATTCACGGAATTGAATGGGAAAGCTGTATGTTTGGTGTGTTCAGAGCATGTTGCAGTGCTGAAAGAATATAACCTTCGTCGCCACTATGTGAGTCTTCATGCCGACAAATATGACAACTTTCAAGGACAGCGGAGATGAGAGAAGGTGAATGAACTGTTGGCGGGTCTGAAGAAACAGCAGTCTGTGTTTACTCACAGCCGAGACATCAGTGACGCTGCAGTGAAAGCTGGCTACCTCATTGCTAATGAAATCACAGTGGCTTCAAAACCATTTAGTGAGGGTGAATTTGTAAAAACATGCATGATGAAGGCAGCGGAGATTGTGTGCCCTGAAAAGCGGCAGGCTTTTGCAAATATCAGCCTGACAAGAAACACAGTTGCAGACAGGATTTCCGATCTTTCAGTGGATTTGGACAGCCAGTTGAAGCAAAAAGTAAAGTCATTTATTGCGTTTTCGGTTGCAATTGATGAAAGCACGGACATTACAGATGTTGCACAACTGGCCATTTTCATCCGCGGAGTTGATGACACATTGACCGTCACCGAGGAGTTCGTGGAGTTGGTGCCGATTACAGATACAACGACAGCAGCTGATATTTTTACCGCACTCGTCGGCGGGCTGGACAGGGTCGGAGTGGACTGGTCCCGCGCTGTCAGCCTGGCTACAGATGGTGCGCCCTCAATGATCGGGAAAAAAAGCAGGCGTTGTGACAAAGTTCAGAGAGAAAGTGCAATCTGCAAATGGAGGACGTGATTTTTTGACTTTTCACTGTATTTTGCACCAGGAGGCTTTGTGTTGCAAGTCATTAAAGATGGATAACGTCATGAAGGTGGTCATCCAAACTGTTAATTTCATCCGATCCAGAAGCCTGAATCACCGTCAGTTTGACAGCCTTCTCAGAGAGAAAGACCACATCTATGGCCTGCCATACCACACTGAGGTAAGATGGTTAAGCCGAGGTGCTGTGCTGAGGCGTTTCTTTGATTTACGAGAAGAAATTGAACAGTTCATGGAAGAAAAGGGCAAACCAGTGTTAGAATTTCATTCCGCAGAATGGATGCAGGACCTTGCATTTATGGTGGATGTTACAGAGCACCTGAATAACTTGAAACAGCTGCAAGGGCGCAACAAAGTTGTCATGCAGTATAATGACAGCATACGTTCTTTCAAGTTGAAGCTGTCATTGTGGGAGACGCAACTTGCCGGTGGTGATGCAGCTCACTTCCCCTGTCTGAAAAATGTGTGCGCGACCCAACATGTGGCAGACATGAAGCGGTTCAAAGATAAAATAACGGGACTGTTACGGGAGTTTGAGCAACGCTTTCAGATTTATGTTTATATGTTTTTATGTTGATGTTATTGTTTTTAATTGATTTTATTTGTATATTTAACCTATTCTTGACTCTGTGGTTCTTGCACTTGTTTGGGGAACATGATTTCATTATTTTTATCTACATTTCTGCCTGAGAAATGACACCCTGATATAGTTCTGTGATCTGTGATATACTTCTGTGAATCACTGAGGCATTGTGTGTTTGTGTGTTCTTTGTCCTCAGAACTTTCAAATAACTTGAGGTGTTTTATGATTAATAGTGATGTTGTGCTTTTGGACACTGTCCTCAGGCTCCAGCTTTATGTTTATATGTTTTTATGTTGATGTGCTATTGTTTTTAATTTATTTTATTTTATTTGTATATTTAACCTATTCTTGACTCTGTGGTTCTTGCACTTGTTTGGGGAACAAGATTTCATTATTTTTATCTACATTTCTGCCTGAGAAATGACACCCTGATATAGTTCTGTGATCTGTGAAACAGTTCTGTTAATCACTGAGGCATTGTGTGTTTGTGTGTTCTTTTTCTTTAGAATTTTCAAATAAACTTGACGTGTTTTATGATTAATAGTGATGTTGTGCTTGTACTATTTTGGACACACTGTCCTCAGGCTCCAGCTTTATGTTGTATGTTGATTGTATTAAAACAAAGAAAACAATCTGAAGTTGTTGTTTTTAAGTTATATATACCATGATTTTTCCGGTCCGGCCCACTTGGGAATAGATTTTCCTCCATGTGGCCCCTGAGCTAAAATGAGTTTGACACCCCTGCTCTAAAGAGTCCCTTTCAATGTTCAGTCATTCACAAACACGGAAAGAACTTTAGAACGTTAGGCTAATCAGTGGAATTAGCTGTACCCTAATCAGTGTCCATGTCACCATTCATTGTCTCTCTCTAGGCATTAGTAGCCTAGCTACGGGGCGTTCTAACCCAATCTAACCCAGGGCTAAGGGAATAGTGTTATCGGGAGAGGATCTGTGGATGTCATATATTAACCTTTATAATACTGATCCAGAGGCAGCCCAGTGGACTACCTGCTCTGAGGACCCCTGTTCTCTGTATTTGAAAAGCTCAATTCACTCCATACCCTAATAGACTGGGCCTGTTTTCACAACGCGTTTCAGAGTACGAGTGCTGATCGAGGAGCTAAGCTGACATATCGAATTGTTTAAAGAAGGTCATACCATGGATCACTTAGCTATTTGATTTTGAATTTTTGTACCCCTTTATGTTGAAAAAAATTATTGAAAGAAATTAATTGATAAAATATTGAATTTGGCCTTTACTACTATAGCCCACTGAAACGGATTGAATAACACATTCATAAATGGCAAAAAAGACAGTCAAAAAATATATCATAAGGAATATTGTTTTAAAGTGTCTGTCCTATATCTAGGAGATATAATAACGTTCAGGACATTTTAGTTTTTTTGGACATCCAGTATTTAAACCCTTATTTTTGTTGGTACAACATCAATGTACCTCCATACTTCCATTCATTTCGTTTGGTTTAACTTTAGACGAGTCCCGTGACATTTGTGGGGGTCATAGAGCAAAACAGAGAACACCATCGTGTTCGTGAGCGTCTCCCCTATCGATGGAGTGGGCCAAACCATTCGGATGCTACAGACGTTTCCGTGAGAAGACCGATTTTCAGGATGCCTCCTGGTCTGACAAACAGCGCTGTAGCTGTCACTTTCCACCGCAGATATCTCTAGTTTAAACTGACGGATTTTGAAGGGGATTTTTAAAATTATGTTACTTAGATGGACTCTAGGGACTTTTAAACAGCACGATCATTACACAGGTGCACCTTGTGCTGGGGACAACTGGTACTTTCTTACTTTGACAGAAGAAAATAAAGCTCAGATGAAAAGGAGGGGTAAGGAATATCTTCAGGTACCGGGATGATTAGAAGGTCCAGTGTACAGCACCACTTCTGCTGCACTGCAGAACTACATTTAAATTGGCCTGGACTACCCCCACACACACACGCACCAAGGAACGAACACACACACACACACACACACACACACACACACACACTTGTCGGCTAGTACATTCTAGGACAATTCAATTGACAAATCGACCATTCTCCACTCCAAACAGAACGATACCCATGCATCCTTGGGTGTCCGGGTGCTTTCACCCAAGAGTATTCACTGAAATTCAGTACAGGAAGTAAAGACCGCTTTGGAGATTCATAGCTACTCACCACCATCTCTCACGATAATAGTCTTTTCTCAAATCAATACAACTGCTGTAATGGCATTTACTCCACCCATCCATAACTGAGTAATGGACTTTTACCAGCAGTGCAAAAAAAACTATATCTTCCTATGACCTCTGAAGAAAATACAATCAGCCAGGAAATAGACCAAGATTGATGGGTGAGAAAGTGTTAGTCGTTGCTTAAAGTTCTCATTGATGAAGGTATATTGAAGATGGCTTCAGGAGCAATACAGATTTCTTCATGAGGAAGTTGTAGTGTAAGACTATTAGGCAGTGTGTCTGTATGTAAGCCTATTAGGGCAGCGCTGCAGTGAGAATCCAATCAGTGAAAGATGACTATAGAGATTGTGCTGTGTGTGGAGGTACATCAGGTGTGGTTTGGGACTTGATCCCCTCAGCTACTGTTCTCTTCTTTGTTTCCCTGACGACAGTGTTTTGGCATGCTCTCCCTCCCTCCCAACCCTCCCAACCCTCCCTCCCTCCCTCCCTTCCTCCCTTCCTTATCTCCCAGATGGATCTGTTCTGCACTGCACTGCAGTATACAGGACTAGCAGCAGGAGGAGGAGAAAGAGGAAGGAGAGGCAGACCGGATGACTCACCCTCTCCTCTCACAATCTGCGGCCCTACAGACCCCCAGGGAGGCTGCAGCCACATCCAGGGAGCCCAACGCTGCTGCCCCACACACACACACAGAGAGCAGTGCCCACAGACACTGATG